GTGTTTTCACACCCACTCCTCAGTCGTTCTCCTGAGATGATTAACTTATACGATTGTCGCCCAAATTAACCTCCTCCACAAATGCACCATTTCCATCAGGCCAGGAGAGAGCTGCGTCAGCTGAAGGAGGAGGCCAGGAGTAAACATGCCGTGTCGGTCATATGGGCCGGCTGGCAGGGCACCAAGGTATTTAGGAAGACGTGACCTGCCGCCTCAGTCGAACCGCTCCAAACTTTGAAGTCCCTGAATTTGTCTTCCAGGAGTTTGTGCAACCGAATAAAACAGAGGGGAAGTCAAAAAGTTCTAGGACGGATGACTGTGACCAGTTACATCATCACAGTGTCAGAACAAAGGTTGACCTCTGTGACCTTTCATTTGGTCAGAGTATTTTCAGACCAGAGAAAATGTCACAGTTGTAGTGACAGTTTGTTTTTTTTTATTTGAACTCGTCCTGGTTTAAAAATCATTTCACAAAATTCTGCAAAAATTCATTCATAAAAAGCCAAAGTTTAAATGGAGGATATATGGAGAAATAGATTTGTTATATTTAAGATAAATATATATGATTAGGTTAGAATTTGTCCTTGAACTTTTTGACTTTCTCTCATATGTAGTTTGTTTCGTGTTTAGGATTTAGTGACACCTAGTGGAGAATTGTCATCAACATATAGAGAGAACGAAAGCAAATATAGCTGAGTAATACATATATATTTATATTATATAGTAGAGTATTTTGTACATATTATACTCTATATAGAGTATGTTGAGTATTTTGTAACTTCCCTTTATTCAGTGGTTCTCAAACTTTTCCTGACCTTCCCCTGATTCACAGTCACAGTTAATGATTCAAATCCAAACTTTATCACAAAGATGAATTCCTACAAAGGATTATTTGATTATTCTGGGAACCGCTGAGTTCAGATGTTACTGATCCACATCAGTTCTGTTGTGTCTCTGGGTTGGTCTGACTAACGAGACAAGAAAAAAAAAAACCAAGTGTCGACTATGACCTGACCCTGCTGACGTTTTTTTCAGGTGGTGGAAGATAACACTGACCACAGACATGATGATGTCACTGCACGCCTGTTCTTCCTCCTGCATGACTTCCTGTGTAGCTGCTGCATGTTGACTCTTTGTATCGCAGAACTGTTTGTCTTTGAGATAGAACTGTTTGGACTCTGTGGTGACCTCTGCTGTCTGAGTTTTGACTTTTGATCTTTGCCTTTTTTTAAAAATGTTTCACCAAAAAAAGCTGACGTTTTTTTCCTCCCAGTTTCTGCAGGGTGAGGCAGCAGGTGTACTGCCCCCTGCTGGTCACACACAGCAGCCCGCGTGTCCGTGTGTGTGTATTTGATGTTGACCTCAGGTGTCTGTTCCTTCTTCCTCCTCTGATTGGCTCTTGCTTCATGTGTTCCCGCTCTCCTTCTCTTCGCCCTCCCCCCGCCCCCCCCCCCCCCCCATCGCCACCGCTGCCGGCGGGCTGAAGGAAGAGGCCAGGCGTAAGCACGCTGTCGCCGTGATATGGGCCTACTGGCAGGGACTCAAGGTACCTACCAGCCCCACGGCACAGCTCACCGCCCGCTGGGCCACACGGTCATCGTCCCTAACCCATGTCTCCGTCTCCGTCTCCGTCTCTGCACGACACTTTTGAAGCCATTCTTTGCACCGTGTCGTAATCTGTCTCCGTCCGACGACCTGCTGTCGACGCCCACGTTGGTTACTGTCTGAGGGTTAGATCACAGACCTGTACAGGGCCGCGACCCCTAGGTTTTTCCACAAATTGAATTATCTGTTTGTATGTATTCATACATGTGTTTATGCATGTATGGATACATATATGTTTATATGTACACACAGGTACTATTTTAAAAATATTTTTAAGCCTTTTTCAGCTCTAGAAATGAACAAGTTTTGGTGTAAAACATTTTTTGTTCTGAAAAATTGATGCTGCTTTTCTCGAAGTAATGCAGATGATGATGAAATCAGAACAAGTTTTTTTTTTTTTTTTCCTCTTTTTCTTTGGTAGACAGATTTTGTTCTGAAAAATTGACGCTGCTTTTCTCAAAGTAATGCAGATGATGATGAAATCAGAACAAGTTTTTTTTTTTTCTCTCTGTTTCTCTGGTAGAAAGAGATCAGTGATACGTCATTTTCCTTTAATGGCTAAAAAACCTGTAACCAACAGAGGCCGACAAACAGGGCAGGAGTTTCTGTCTCTGTGTCTTCACTGTCTCTGTGTCTCCACTGTCTCTGTGTCTCCCCCGTCTCTGTGTCTCTAACCCCACCTCACCCAGCAGCGTCTCCGTCCTCCGTCCTCCGTCCTCCGTTTCTCACCAGCTCCAGCTGTAACAACGTTCATGTTTTCACCAAGTTAACCCGGCGTTCTGTTCCTCCGTTCTTCACCTCAGTTTGTGTTTGAAGGTCAGCATGAAGGTCTTCTCGGCGTCCGGCGTCGACTCTTCAGGAGTTTGTGGTTCACTCTGCTGCTGTTTGTCTCTGACTTACAATCAGTGTCTGTCGTTTCAAGGTGTTGTTTGTGTTTTTAGTCCTTCACAGACGGGAACCCCCGGGTGGAAATGGTTCCTTCAGTGTTCTGAGTTTTTTATTTATATTTTTGTTTTGCTACGACAGATCCGCAGAGAGTACAGGAAGTTCTTCAGGGCAAACGCTGGCAGAAAGATTTACGACTTCATCATTCAGAGGATCGTGAGTATAATTTCAAACTGTTGTTTTGGTTTTTTTAATGATGTTTAATGTCAGAAACTACAGTCATTTTAAAACATGAGGCGGCGAGGACAGAGACACGGGGACAGGGGGACAGGGGTTTATTTTCTTCTTCTTCTTCTGTTTGTCCAGATGCAGAAATACTTCCTGGGTCTGAAGAGCACGTTACCTTCCATGTCACCCGTAGACCAGAGCTGGCCGGCTCGGCCGTATCTCTTCCTGGACGGAGTCCACAGAGAGCTGCGGAGAATCTTCCACCTGTGGAGGGTCAGTCTGGAACTGAAACATCTGAGCTAATCTAAAACACACTCAGCTCTGGGACGATTCTTTAGCAAGAAACAAATGTTGGAAAATATATATATGTATATTAGCTGTGATTTTTTGTTTTGTTTTATAAATTTATCAACAAAAATCTCTGATTTTATTTGTGTTTGTGTTCAGTGCAAGCAGTACAGGAGCCAGTTCACGCAGGAGAAGAAGGTGGTTTATGAGGAGAAGCTGGAGGCCAGTGAACTCTTCAAGGACAAGAAGGCGCTCTACCCAAGCAGGTACCTGAAGTGGCCGCAGCAGCGCCACCGTCTGTTGACACTTGGGAGACTCAAACATCGTCTCACCCAACATTTCTGTCCCTCCGTGTCAGCGTGAGTCAGCCGTTCAGAGGAGACTACCTGGAGATCAGCAAGAATCCCAAGTACCAGAAACTGCACAGCGCCGTGGAGGAGAAGGTTCTGCTGGCGGACGTGGTGAACAAGATAAACCGAGCGAACGGCAAGGTTGGAGTGACGCCGGGTTTTTAAAGTTCTGAAACATAACGTTTACGGTTTTCATTTTTTATGAGAATTTTTAAGGTGAATTTTAAGGCATTTATTTCAACACTAGATTAAAAAGTTATTTATATTTAGTAGAATATGAATAGTGTATTAGTTAAAAATCACACCTTTTAACACTGATTCTTCCATTGACTGGCGCCCCCTGTGGTTCTACCAGGGAACAGCCAGAATCTTCCTGCTGGCCAAGAACAGCTTCGTCCTGGACGACCAGACGGGTCAGGTGAAGGCCAGCGTCCCTCTGCCGGACCTCACCAGTGTGTCGGTCAGCACGCAGAGCGACGGCTTCTTCGCCTTGAAGCTCAAAGAGGTGACGACCTATTGACCTGTTGACCTGTTGACCTGTGGACTTTCCACAGACTTTTATTCCCCTTTGGTATAAAAGTTATTCTTGGATGAGGAGCTGTGACTTAGAAATGTTCCAAATATTTGTTTTTATTCAACGTCAGACTGTAGTTGTAGTTGCTGTTGCTGTTGTTGTTGTTGTAAAGTATAAACGTCCTCCTCTTGTCTGACGTCGTCTCTGAGAAACGTCACGTTCGTGAAGGAGCTTGAAGTTTTTTTTTTCTTTTTTTAATTGAACTGAGGAAACGCAACAAATAAAGATTTTACAAGGGCTACGTTTTTCCAGTAAACCTGGAGCCAGCCTGACACGGACCACACACACACACACACACACACACACACACATGAGACAAAGGAATGTTTTTACAGTTGGTACAAAACACAAAACTGTAGTAAATGTAATCCAGTGGTTTTTTTTTTACACTTACTGTAGAACCACCTCCAGAACTGCTGTTACATTAGCCTTAAGACGTTAGACGTTTTATACATGTGAAAAAGAATCTCCTGGATTTTCCTTGACCAACCTGTCTGACTGTTTGACCCCTGTGTCCTCAGGGCTCGGCCGCCGCCGTCAAAGGAGACTTCCTGCTCAGCAGCGAGCGCCTGATCGAGATCATCACCAAACTCCACCGCACCGGGGCCACGGCCGCCGACAGGGAGCAGCTGGACGTGGACATCTCTGACGAGTAAAACCTCACGCACGGTTAAGTCCCGCGGTCCCGCTGGTCCAGGGTGACGGAAAATAACGTGTGGTTCGTGTCTCTGTCTGTGCCGCAGGTTCCTGGTCCAGTTCAAACAAGACAAAGTCTGCGTGAAGTTCATCCAGGGATCCCCCAAGAACGGCAACAGCGCCTCCTGCAAGCGCAAGAATAACCGCCTGCTGGAGGTGTCGGTGCCCGCGACTGCGTAGGGCGAGGCGCCACCTACTGGTGCTGCTAGTGCTGCTCTGTTTGTGTGTAATTTTGGAGGCATTAGGACAAAACAA